TCTTAGAAATACTCAGCAGATCAAAAACTACTATATTAAAAAAATTTAGATATACAAGAATTTTTTATTATTTTGTGGTTTGAAATTCCAATATTATTAATTTATCCTACTATTTTCTGGAGAAATATTCTTGAAGAGTTTAAGTAACCCACAAACGGCCTGTTGTTCCAACTCTTTCCTTTTATCGATATTATTTTGTCCGAGATTGGTAGATAATTTTAAAATTTGAAATTTTTCCTCCAAAATTTTTTCTCGATTACTCGGATTTAATGATTTAATGAACTCAGGTGATTTTAAAATTGAAAATCTATCAAGAGCTAATGAAAGTGAAGAAAAAAATGGAGTACTTGAAATTGGTTCTGACGAAAAGATGGGAATATAATACGAAATGATATGATATACTTTTGAATCCAACGTAATACATACGGTCTTCTTGTGAAGTGTTGTTCTGACATCTATTTGATATTGGTCTTGGTTCTTCTCTATTCCACAATTGCCATGAAGTTCTTCGTAAAAATTAATGTTAGCTTTATTTTTTTTAATTCCATTTTTACTTAAGTATCTAGGAACTTGATAGTAAATGAGAAACTCGCCGCTTATTTTTGAAGGAGACCAGATTTGCCCATCTGTCCATCTTCTCATTCCCCCTTCAGACTCTATGAAGCAGTAAATGTCACCAGCATCTATTTGCTTCCGTTCCTCTGATGTCAATCTTGTAGTAGCAGGTAATACATATCCCAGTCTAACTGCATGGACGATCAATAAAGCCTCGGCATAATTGTGTATATGTCCTGTAACCTTCATAGCAATCTAATTTAGGGTTTATAAATTTAAAATATTTGTCAGTGATCATAAATAAATAAAGTTTAATGCTGTTGTTTAGAAAGTTAAAACAATAAAATAGTCTAGAACGCATAGATATTCAGTAGTTTTGATTATAAGTAAACATTGGAAGATAGTTGACACAAATTTAGAGTTTTTGGAACCTTGGTAAACGAATTCCGTTAAATAATGTTTGTAATATAAATCGAAATGCTAATTGTAATACTCACCAATATTCTAACAATTTTAGACTTATTCAGGAATTATATTTATTAATTAATTAAATGTTTGTTTTTGGACAACAAAGTATATTATTTTTAATAGTATAAATCTACCTTTTATCATTAATTTTTTTCATTCTTATACTACGAAAACTTGATATTTGGTTTATCTGAAATACCTTCAAAATGAATTTGCATAAAATATTAAATATAAAAGATAGATTATATGATAATATTGAAAGTAGTAGAAATTTCTTCATATATAAGACAAAAATTGCAAAAAGGTTACTGATAAGATTTTTAAGGATATAGCAAAATACTTCCCGATGGTGTTTAACAAATATGGGATAAAAATCTTAAAATAGGAAGTAATAATCAGCTTATTGAGCAATTTTCCCTGAAAACTTTCAAAAAACAATCAATGAGAAATCAGAATTGGTTAAAGATCAAGTAATATCTATTTGGGGCCATTTTATAAAATTCATTCTATTTAATAATTATAACACAAATTAATTTTATTCTCCAAAGAAGTATTCCAAAATGATTCTGAATATTCCCTTTTTCTTTAAATATATATCCTTTTCAGTAACTAATCCAAAATTTCTTCTGAAGGCGCCAATAATTTCTCCGTTAATAATCTTTTGATTTAATGCAGCACATCTTTCTAGATCATCAATATCTTCAGACCAAACAGAAACAAAATTGCGACCTTCTTCTATTCTGTCTATATTGACTGTATTTTTTATTATGTCTAGAATATTCTGTCTGTTACTTGGGGAAAACCCAAATATTGTTACGTGACGAGTCTCAGGAATATGCTCAGGGCCTGAAATTGTTTGGTAAATGGTATTCTGTGGTATCGCGTTTTTTCTTTCCCTTGTTGATTGAAATTCAGAATTTTCAGCAAAAAGTTCCGGCATAAAATTATTTTCTGAATCTTCCATGGGGAAAAAATTACAAATTTTGAAAAAGTAGTAAAATATCGATTTTATGCTTTCAATACAAGCGAATATCTTACAGCATCCAAAATTTTTGATATTTGATATTCAAAGCAAAATTACAATAATCTTAGGTACTATATTTCAATATTGGATTTCCTATCAACTGCAAAAATTGGTTATAACTGATGCAGCTAAATTTGCAGAATGTAGAGACTAAAGGGCTTGGTGTTTAGAGCTAGTATTGATATTTGATTTATCTTATAGTTTACAAAATTGGAATTAATCCGGTCAAGTAAAAAAGAATTGTATCTGTGTCTACTCTCACTCCTTCAATAATAAGATAGCTTTTGATTCCAATCAGGGATTCTTTAATTGTATTGATTCCTTCAACTTCGCCTAACCTGTAGTTTTGTTTATCAAAAAAATTTGCTATGAAAAAGCATTCTAACGTTTCATTGATAGTTACATTATAAGTTTCTTGATTTTCAAAGTTGTTGTTATTTAAATAGCCTACTTTGGTATCGGACTTAGAAATACTTCCAATTATACCGATAGTTAAGAATTTCCGACACTCATTTAAAACAATATTAACCGTAGAGAGGTTTTCAAATTCTATCTTCATAGGCTCCATGAAGAGATTGGTGGATATTTCCACATTTCTAATCACCTCATTTCCTGGATGAGCAATGATATCATCAATTTTAGAAAAATTGTCAGGTAGAAATCCAATGGGTCCATAATAGTTGGATCTCTCTTTTATCTTATTAATCTTGAGTATCTGATTTGTTAGTGGATCGTGTTGTGAGCATTTGGGCAAACATACTACACTTATGATTTCGATTTGAGTAAAAATAGAGCTTATGTAGAATGTAAATCCTGCCCTTACGACCCTTCTCAATTCGGTGATCTTAATTTCTTTATTCTTTATTTGATAAAACTTTGGATCTGAATTATAAAAAAGTACAATTTTTTTATCATCAACTTCACACAGCCAATATTCCATAAGTTGTCCATTTTGATTCATTCTCAGTATTGTACTACAGTACACTACTCTGCCCGTAATCGTTTCAAACAATCGAGTAGAAGGCAGATTCATCCTAGCATCACCGATTTTGGTAATCTTCATCAGTGATTTGGCAGTAACCTCTTCACAATCGAAATAGATAGACTCCGTAAAGCTATTATATACCATTCTATCTATCATGGCCATCTTCTTTTTTTTACGATATTCACTCAAACAAATTATTTCTCCTACATTTAAGGAGCTGTATTGAACGAGGGATTCACTCCAAAAAACTACTTTTAGGTTAATATTATTAGACGATACAATTAGAAAGAAAAATGGATTGTATACACTTGGATATAGATTGATTCTTGTCTTTTGAGTAATCCGAGCAATAAAACAAGGAGGAAGTGGACTTCTTAGATTGAGGATTTCTCTCCCTTCAATAGCATATTTGCCTAAAAAAATATTTGCCTTGTATATTGGCTTTGCTTCCTTTGAATCTATTTCATTCAATGAATTGGGCAATGTGTCACAGAGAAATGGAAGATAATATTTGTTTAAAATTTCAGGTAATCCTAATTGACCTGAGAGTTTATCGTCTGTTTCCTGCTTTTCTACCTCGAAAAGTATACCTTCATGGTCTGTCTCTATGATTACAATAAAATCCCCTATGTCCAAAAGACCATGTGATATACTTTCAGACATTTTTCTATTTACATCTAGAAAGTAACGCTTTTCCTTATATACATGCAATGTAAATAATAGGTCTGGATGATACCTTCTAAATATTTCTATCACACGATACTTCATTATATTCATTTTAGGGGTATTACAATAATTAGTTAAATTAGTAACAAAATAATAATATTTACACTATAATTCATTGATGTCAGAAGAGTTTTATGATTTTAGTGTAGCTCAAGCATCTAACAACAAATGGTTTGCAGTACTCTACTTCTATATGATACAATATTACTTCATCTAATCTCTGATTTTAATTTAATTTTTTGTTAGGAATTATTAGTACTTTATTTGAAATCAAGTGAACTAGCACAGTAAATAAATGATATTGCTTTAATTTGATGTATGCTTATATTTATTTAGTAGTATTAATATTCTTTTTTAGAAGACAAATAATTTAAGGTTCTATATATTTCAAATTTTGATAATAAATCAATTCTGGTAAACAATTCTTTTCATTGGCAAAAATAAAGGAATATTTATCTATTTGCATGTCAATAATCAATTAACCTTATGCTTCAATTACTTTCTATTTTAAATTCTTAGTGGAATAAAGCATCTTCTGCAACATAGAAAATCTACATATAGATATATTCTAACTACTACTAGGTTCTTTTTTAACTCTTTACATTAGAGAATATTCAATGATGCATTCCGCGTAGTGAAGTCTATATGTTTGATGATCAACTTATTCAATCCATTTTTGCATATGATCCTATACCAATGATTTGTATTTCCATTTGAATAAGATACATATGGGGAGACCCTAAAAAATACCAAGCTTTCATTATATGCTAGCAATTTATATTTTTTAGTTAAAATGGTGCTATATCTAGTTTGATAGCATTTTGGTTGGAATTTTTCAACCGTGAAACAAACAAATTTATTTAAATTTACTTTATTCTCCCTAAAATGACAAGTGAGAAAGTTTACAGGGATTACTATAATGCAATAAAAAAGCATGAAGAGGTTTCTGAAAATCTAAAAAACGAAAGAAATATTCTCAAGCATACAGACAAACAATTTGATAAAAGTGAAAATGACTTGAAAGCTCTTCAAACTGTAGGCCAAAACATAGGGGAAATTTTGAAAGCCCTTTCTCCGGAGAAATACATTATTAAGACATCTCACGGTCCAAGATATGTTGTTGGATGTGCCAAGCATATAGATAGAAATCAACTTAACTTGGGTACCCGTGTGGCTCTGGATGTAGTAACATTGACAATTACAAAAATCTTAGCAAGAGAGGTTGACCCATTAATTCATAACATGGCTGAAGAAACACCTAAGGGATTAGATTTTGAGTCGGTTGGGGGTCTTGATGAACAGATTAGAGAAATCAGAGAGGTGATTGAACTCCCATTAAAAAACCCAGAGATTTTTAGGAGAGTGGGAATCAAACCGCCAAAAGGTGTACTATTATATGGACCTCCAGGCACTGGTAAGACACTCCTTGCTAGAATTGTAGCTTCAACCATGGATGTTACATTTTTGAAGGTTGTAGCTTCGAGTTTAATTGAAAAATACATTGGGGAATCGAGTAGAATGATCCGGGAGATGTTTGCTTATGCTAGATCCAAAGCACCCTGTATAATCTTTATGGATGAAATTGATGCAATTGGAGGGGCCAGATCAAATGATTCCAATTCAAGCGATAGAGAAGTTCAAAGAACGTTGATGGAGCTACTCAACCAAATGGATGGTTTTAGTGATTTAGATGATGTAAAGATCATTATGGCTACCAACAGACCAGATATTCTTGATCCTGCATTGTTAAGGCCTGGAAGATTGGACAGAAAAATTGAAATTGGTCTGCCCAATGAAGTTGGGCGAAGAGAAATATTAAAAATACACTCTGCTCAAATGAGTAAGGGAGAGGACATCGATTTTGAAAATTTGGTTAAGTTGACCACTGGTTTTAATGGAGCTGATTTAAGGAATGTTTGTACAGAGTCGGGGATGATAGCATTGAGAGAGGAGAGGGATTATGTCATCCATGAAGATTTTGTAAAAAGCGCTAGAAAGCTTGCTGAATCGAAAAAATTGGAGACAAAGTTGGACTACAAAAGAAAATAAATACAAAGTTTGAATAAAGCCCAAAGATTTGCATCGCTTTTATTTAGTAGAAATATAGTCCTTGTTTTTGAATTGTATTAAAATTAAGAATGCCTGAATCACATGAAAACACCCTAGTGTTTACAGAAACAGTTTTGGAATCTGAGATATTTAAAGTTTTTATTTTATGATTATAGTGAAAAGTCATATTAATGGATGGGATTTCATACCGATTCTCATGAAACTATTTTTTAATTTCATTTATTTCTTAAGTCGATAATCAAATACTGGGATGGGAAAATGACTTGAAAATTTCTCAACTCTAACTTTTAAATCCAAAATTCGACCATCTTTCAATGCAGCTTCAACAAGCTTGGCCAAATCTAATTTATTGGAGTTGTCATGTGTTTTTGGAGATAGATCGGTTGCAATCTTAATGGCTTCATCTATTAAAGCAGCAACCTTAACAAAGTCCGATTCTTTAAATCCTCTGGTAGTTAACGGAGGAGTACCAATGCGTATAGCTGATGGATTCCAAGGGCTTTTGTCCGTAGGAATGCAATTTTTATTGATACTGATATTTGCCAGTTCACAGACTCTTTCCACCTCAATTCCACTTACATCTTTGAGGCATAAAAGCAATAAATGAGAACTGGTACCATTTGAATACAATTCGTATCCCATTTTTTTAAACTCCTCACAAAGAGTTAGAGCGTTACTATGTACTTGCTTGCAGTAGTCTTTATACTCTTGTGTATTTGCTTGTTTCAAGGCCACTGCAAGAGCACCTATCTTTTGATTATGAGGTCCTCCTTGAAGGCCTGGGAAAACTGCAAAATCAATCTTTGCTTTTAAGTCAATAGTGATTTCTTTCCCATCAACAATCTGGTTTTTCAGCTTTTTATAAAATATCATTGCCGATCTTGGCCCTCTAAGAAGCTTGTGGGTAGTAGTTGTAACAATATCACAGTGCTCAAATGCATTTTCCATAATCCCTGTAGCTATAAAGCCACTAATATGTGCCATATCCATCATCAGATATGCATCACCTGCAATTTTTCTTAATCTTTTGTAGTCAAAATCATGTGGATATGCAGAGGCACCACAAACTAAGAGACTGGGCTTAAATTCTGCAGCATCAATTTCCAACTGATCATAGTCAATCTTTCCATTCTTACACTTGTAAGACATTGATTCGAAAAATATCGAAGATGCCGAAATCTTTCTGGTAGAGGTTTTATATCCATGTGTCAGATGACCCCCAGATGGTAAATCCAACCCCATTATCCTCCCTCCCTTACCTATTGCCCCCAGATATGCTGCTAAATTAGCGCCAGATCCACTAAGTGTTTGAACATTGACATCCCATATTTCAGGATTAAGATTAAATAATGACAGGGCTCTAGATTTACAAATACCCTCAATTGAATCAATAAATTCATTTCCACCATAATATCGATGCCCAACCTGTCCTTCAGAATATTTGTTACAAAGAATAGAACTTCCTGCTTGTAAAACGGAAATGGATGCAAAATTTTCACTTGCAATCAATTCCAAGCCATTCCTCTGTCTTCCCTCTTCCTTCTTAATCAACTCATGGATTTCTGGATCAAACTCCTCTAAACTTTGATACAACATTTGGGGGAAATTTTAAATTGTATAAAATTAGAGTAATTTGTAATTAGTCAAAATAAATATGACTGTAAGTTAAGTACAACTAAAGAAAATACTCGTTAAGAGGAAAATTCAACACAATAACCTAAAGGTATTTTTTAATATAAAATTTGGAGAAAAATTAATTTATACCAAATTAGACTAATATGGTTGATGTAAAATTTGTATTTTCACTTTAGGAAGATATGCATATGCATCGGAAAATACATTTTGACAATACTATGATATTTTGAAATTATTTTTTATTAATGATATATTGGATTGAAATTACCTTGATTTCCAATCGAAATATTTTGTCCTATGGATTGACCTGATGATAATTGATTACCCTCAGAAAATGGACGAATAACTCCAACTTGTATGGGCTGGCTGCATGACGAATTAGATGTGGGAAAAACCACAGGTTTGGTGCATGGCTTAGGTGGATTAAACGTAACGATTTTGGAAGTACAAGGCTTTGGGGTAGCAGGCTTTAAAGCCTTCAATGCACAGGGAGAATCCAAATCAAGTTTCGGAAAATCACATGTATTTGACGGCTTAGAGACTGGGATTTTTGAATTACACGGAGGTTCCACAAACTCTGGAGCATTGCAGACATTCTTTTCCTTATAAATTAAAGTTTTTTTAGGACTTCTAAATGCAGATCGGGGTTGTTTCTTGTGTTTACAACTTGTTTGTGAAATTTGTTTGTCCACTTTGGTTGCACAATCGCATGGTGTAGGCTCTGAACACTCATTCTCTCTTTTTAAAGCTTTACATTTTTGCCTTTCATTTGTACAAGGACATTCTGGTTCCACTATTTCAGAGCAATCATCTAAACATTCTTCAGAACCTGACTCCTCTAGAGACTCAAGATCTTTACAATCAAGTTTTTTTAGTTTCTTTTTAGGCTTTGTAGTTTTATTATTTTTTGATTCGCTGCTTTCATGCTTTTGACCGGGTTTTTCTTTATTTGCAACATTGTCTGACTTAGCTTGGGAGGTTTTACTGGAATCACTGCCAAAGAGCCATCCAAACAGATAGCTTGATTTATCAATCAAATTTTCAGAAAGATCATTTTGAAGGTTTAAAAAATTCAGTAGTGTTGGAATAAGTTTTTTATCTGCCTCAACTACAGGCTCAATTTGTCGATCATGTAACATCTTGGCAATGGGATTAAATAGCAATCTGATTTTGTCCGAAGCTGCATTCATCTCGATTGTATTTCCATCGTCTGAGTAACTATTACAAATTTTGGAAATTTTCTGTTTTTTAGATCCAAATAGATTCAAATACTTCATAAATTCTTTATAGGCTACATGGGTTTCCTTAAAAAATCCAAATCTTTGAATCTCTCCATTATAATTAATTCGAATATAGCGATTTCCATTGTGATCTTTCCAAAGTTCAATAAACAATGTACTTCCATATGAAGGTAGATCATTTATTGGTATATTAAGCCCATTTAGGAGAGTACTCAGGGTAGAATCATGGGTTGATAGCAAGCTTATTGTATTTTTTTCTTCCATTTTTTTTGAAATTAAATTAGAAAGTAAAGCAAAGGATACTCCATTCAAAGCAATATTTTCTCTAATTTTAGTCATTTTGTCCTCGTGTTTTAAGTGAGTTTGGTCCAAAAAGTCTTCCATTCTTGTAATATCACAATCCAAATTATCGCACAACACCTTAACAGGATTACATATACCTGTAACGATATTATCGAGCATTTTATACTCTTTAATATCATCTGAAGTCGATATAAGTTTATCAAAATACATAAATCTTTGAATTGAGGAGCATTTGGAAGGCCCAATCATTTCATTCAATTCTTCTGTTTTGATATTTGTAATATCAATACCTTCGTATACTCCGTTTATCATAGCCTTTGTTCTATTTATACTAGTTACATGGCCCTTTACAGTAATATCTCCATCAAATTTTGGAATATAATTCTTCTTTATAAATTTTCCAAGCTCTTTCCCCTGCTCGAATCCTTTTACTGTCAACATTCCGCTAGCACATTTGGTAGCAAAGCATTCGTTATTAGTGCATTTCATACATTTCTGATCCTTCCAATGGTTGTTGATTTCAATTGGAGCCCTGTCTCCATGTCTAAAAATAGCAACCAAATTAGTCAAAGTTCCTTCGGATTCAATAAATTTGTAAGTTGGTGAACAATAGCTTGAGAATCTATCCAACAGTTCGTTACCATACAATACTTTATTCTCTGCAGAAATACTGATCCCTAGCAAAATCATTTTTAGCATCTTTTAAAAATGAAATGAGCTTTTATAGAATAAATACTTAAGTTTCACTTAGTTTGATGAGAATGTTGGTTTCAAAAGAGTGTTCCAAATCAAATTAATACATAGGATTTTTTAATTTATAATCAGCCTATTTTAACAATTTTTAAATACTTGAAACTGTCGTTTCACTACGTGTTAATAGATTGGATGAAACAAGTGTTTTGAAAAGATCAGCTTACTAAAAACAAAACGATCTAGTTCATTCTCCATATGATCTTTAATTTTTTTCGATCTAAAAAGGGTCAATCTCTTCCCAAAGAAGAATATACAATTACAGAAGAAGAATTGAAAGGTAGGAACGGAATAGTTTTTGGACCTAGTGATAGTTTAGATGGAACAGAGAAAATATCTGTAAACCAGCATCGATCACAAGCTATGAATATTTTTATTAAAATTTATGACTCAGGCAGTAATATTGACTCTGCTACCAATGATGTTAGTACCTATAAGCCATTTAGAACTGAGACTGAAATTATTGCAATTCCACAAGGATATGTTTCGAAAATAAAGGATATTTATGAAAATTTAACTGAAATCATTGCATTGCAGAGAATCCCAGATTGTACAAAGCCAAAATTTGGCGTGACATTAGAGAGTAATCTGGGTCTAGAAACTCAAAAGCTTAATTCTAATGACTCAGAGGTGGATATATATAACTCAAGAATATTGGCCAATGAAGTATCATCTCTCAGTAGTATTTCGGAAGTACCATCTATCAATGAAATAGTAGAAGAAAATATTTCAAGTAAGCAGCAATCTAATACTTTGGCCATTGATTCTCAAACATCTAAACCGGAAAAACTTCTCAAATCGGCAGCAGAATCAAAATCTAGAAAGTACAATCGAAATCCGAAAGTTAAAAATAGAAAAAGTACTGAAAAGCATGTAGAGGAAATTAAGCAGAAGTATTTAAAGAGAAGTTGTGATAAGAAAGTTCCAAAACCAGATTTAGAAGAGTCTTTATCACAAACCGGAAACTCTTCCTGTGAGACAAGTGAACTAGGGTATGTAGAAAATTATAGAAAGCTTATTGAACAAAAATTTGAAAAGAGTTCTTCTCCTACAGTTTCAATATCTAGTAGAAATGATAAAAATCTTCCTTTAAACTATAATCAACACTCAGAAATGCTAAGAGAAAATTCTTTGTTTATTTCAAGGTTACTTGCTACTCACCAAGATCTACCATTTTCCGATTCATTCGTACCATTTCAACCCAATTCATCCAAATTTCAGCAGAAGCAAATGGAGGTATTAAAATCCATGATCACTGATATTGAAAGTAGTCAAAACGAATCACAGATTCCATTAACAGCTCATCTATTGAGTGCAAAAGTATCGAAACTAAAGGAGTTGTATGAAAATTTAGCTGCCGAGCATATGGCATCACTGCATATAAGTGAAATAGATAGTGATAGGGAAGTAATAGTTACAAATTATGATGTTGAAAGGATGATAGAGTATTTTGAAGAATTGATCAGGATAGAAAACTTAATAAATTTGAGTGTTTAATACTTGATATAGATTTGCATTAGTTTGAGAATATTTTGATGACTTTTTACTTTATGGAATTACAGTTTTAAAAATAATTTTAACTTGGCTTGCTTTAACTTACCAAATATTAGCAAAATATCGGAGAAATCCAACAAGTATATTTAAATATCAATTTAATATACTAAAGAAGAACAAATCTATTGGAAAGATAATTTATTTTCCCTAGCTTTGCTCAAATCAAGAATTGATCCTGAAAATATATCAAATGATCTACTGGTTAAATACCCCGCCATAGTTTATACTATCACATATTTTTTGGATTGTTTCTTTACAAATATTTAATTTGTACAAAGTACTATTCTTCTTAACTATTTTTAATTTGATCAATTTATTCAAAGCCAGCATTATTAAATATTTATTGTTCAGCTTTTCATCTACATGAGCTATCTCGTTGAACAGCCTATCAAATCTACTTTCTTTAGACATACAGAAGATTATTACCTTCTCTGTATAGCCAAGACTTCTAGTCGTATATTCTGAAATATCTACATCGTTTTTTTGAATTGAGGATAGAGAAAGATTTTTGTTTTGTTCAAATATAACTGGATCGTTAACAAGTGCCTTTTTTTCTCCAAGGGTTAATATGAATTTATATGGTACAAACCTAACATCTCGTTCGTTGGAAAATAATATTAACTTCGAACTTCTGCCAATCAACATATTTGATGAATCTCTAAGTAG